CTTGACCTAGGAGCTTTATATTTTTCAGCTATTGCTGTACTGAGGGACATACTTTAATGTATTGAGCATCATTCAGGGAGGTAGAGGTGAGGATTAGGGTGTAAATTTTAGGGAACGTCATAATATGGGGCCGTTCACTTATTACGTTCGCATTTTAGGGGGGAGAGGGGGGGGGGGTTGAAAACGGGGAAAAAATGAGAAAATGGGGGGGGGGGGGTGTCAAGAAGTATGTAACGTTTGTTTACAAATTCACACCAAAAGCATTTTTTTAAATTTTCCACCCTTTTAATGATTTATGAATGTCCAGATCACTTTTGATAGCTAAGCAATAAATAGTTTTTTTTTATATAAAGTAACAAATCAATAGTAAACTGGTTTACAAGACTTTAAAATACAATCATAATTTGTGGAAATTTTCAAAATTAAATCAATTAAGTTTAAAAGTAAATCTCTCTAAATCTTTTCAAAAAAAAAAAACAAATTTTTGCTTTATATCTCAATCCAATAATTCATGAGAATGAATAAAGAAAAACTATGATGAATTATGAATAAATTTAAATGTTCTTAATAACTACCTATAAAAAATTATCAAAATAAAATAAATTATATACGTTCAGGGGCGGGGGGGGGGGGGGGGGGGGGGGGTTGTGAGTTGTAAGGGGGGGGGGGTGAAAAAAGTCATTTTGTTGCGTAACGTACCTAAGACCTGATTTTACCTGCAATGAACCTAGTCACAATTCGTGTGCGCAAGATGCTGTAAAGAATAGAATAGAATGTAATGTAGGGTTTTTCTAATAGCAAAAGCGGCACTGCGATCGATGATCTGTTTTACCATCCCAAGTCCCCTATGTTAGAATTCCGATGTCCTTAATGAAGCCAATAATGTCCTGATAATGCTGCTTATTTATATCCTCATCATTCAAATTGTCCTCATCAAAATGCTTGACACGTTGTCCTCGTAATGACCTACATTTACAAAGTATATGAATGATTGTTTCTTCATTCACATTACAAAACCTGCAAATTTTACTGTTAGACAGATTTAATTTAAAAAGAAAACTGTTGATACTCATGTGTCCTGTCAAAGCACCAATTAAGATGCTAAGATCTTTCCTTGGTAGTCTGAGAGCATCCGATATTTTATTCTTATTTTTAGGACCAAGAAGTCTTTTGGCTGTCATGGCTCCTTCCTCTAAGTTCCAGATACGAAAATGCTGTCTCTCCATCCATTCTCGTATGTCTGACTTCAACAAGCCAAACCCATAGTACGTCGACTTGTCATAAGCTTCCTTGTGTACTGCTTCTTTAGCTAATTGATCAGCTGTTTCATTATCTTCAATACCACTGTGTCCAGGTATCCATTTTAGGATGACTGTAAGGAAGTCATCCAGATGCTAGTATATCCTTGTATACCTAGCAAAGGAGGCATATTCTATGACAAAGACATCAATACTACACCCAACACATTCATACACCTTCAAACAATTGCAGCACACTCAAGATATCTAAGAAATTAAAAAAAAAATGCGCTTCTAAACGCTCACGTAAAAATATTAGCAGTATAGCTTTACTAAGTTCTTTGCTACCTTGGGGGATATCAAGTTGTATTTTTAAAACGGAATGAGATAAAAAGTATGTGAAGTGGAAATGGAGAAAAAAAGCAAAATATTTTCAACACCGTAGCTTTATTGTATGTTACGAATGTGAAAAACAGAATAATGAATATTCATACAAATAAAGAAAATTTCATGACGTGCCGAATGCCGATATGAAGACTTCTTGTGCCTCATTTGCTGTTTCATTATTAAAGCAAATTTCTCCAACAGTGCAAGGAAAATGTATTGTGTGCTGTAGTTGAGAATATGTTTACGTACGTATATAACAAGCTACTGGAATGAGAATAAGATTACGTCAGGAAAAACAACTTGAAATTTGTTTCATTCTTTTTATTATTTTTGTTTGCTTCCTTCCCTACTTTATATACTCTCATTTTCTGTGATTCTTGTGATTATCCATCCATAGACATATGTAGGCTTTAAATTGTTTTATAAGCATGTTTCATAATTAATGCCTTTACCTCTTTCATGACATTGATGTAAAAAAAATTTCAATAGCCTGGAAACTTTTCATCATGTACTGTTCACTACATTAACAGTGTCTGTTTTTTCGTCTCTTCTAGTATCATTGACAGACTACTCGTGCAAGTGCATTTCATTCAAGTGATGCAGATTAAAGTGCTGTGGGGTCGTTTGGTAGTTCTGTAATGTTGTGTTACAGCTCAATAGAATTTCAAGGAAAAAAGCAATGTGGAGCAAAATCGAAAAAAAGGGTTCATTCAAATTTTTTTTCGAATTTTCGTCATTCTCGAACTTTAAACAGCTTCAGAATCGCAAAAACAGCACCAAATGACCTAAAATTTGGCAAACAAGTCATTTTTTATGTCCTTTTCATGAAAAAATTTCTTTAGATCGCAATTCAAAAAAGTCCAAAAAAATTTGAACGAACCCTTTTCTTCGATTTTGGCCTATAGTGTATAAACTTTAAGAAGTACTAAAAAAAAGACAGAAGCGAACCAAGATTTGTTTGAAATATGCGTTATGAAATTTATAACAGACCCATTTAAAAAAAAATATGAAGCATTTTTAACAAATGGGTCAGATGTAAAAAAGTACAAAATAATATAAATATAAAATTGAAAACATTTCCATCCGCAGTCAATCAAAAGCACGGCATGAGTTTCTGTTTGTTAAAGCCTTCTTGAATTTGAAGCAAGGCTTGAATCATTGCAGGGAAAATTCTTACGTCATAAATGATTTACTGTGCATAATTTTGAAACTAAATTCATTATTCATTCTTCTTGCTAGGCTTGTTAGGGTAGACAGAAACATTCACACAACACATCACCGCATAATTTCTAACACTTTCCAGATTGAGATGTAGTAATGAGTCTTGCTAGAATTACTTAACAACTTTCCTAGATTAATTACGAAACTTTTTTCATTACATTGTTTCGATGTGATTTTTTTTTCTATGCCCATGCCTTTTAACAAAAGTACCTCAATTTGCTTATCTAACGTCGACTGAGCTTAGATTTTATTAGCAGTTTTCCGTTCGAAAGAGCTTTTCAAGTTATTAAGTGTCATAAAATTGATTAAGCAGATAAAGTTGAGCAATATGAGGACTGTCATTTGATTGTAGCTGGAATAATGCCTCAAAGCCTGTTGCAATTTTATTATCAGATTGCTTATTTTATGCTTCATTAAGGAATTTTTCTTGATTTTGATGAAGACGCTATGAGAAGTTTTTGGGAATGTTCTTATAGATATGGATATAAAATGTGACAATTTTATTGAAGATTCGACATGCTTCATTGCCATTAATATTAGACCTAGGGTTGATTAAACATACAATTTTAAAGATTTTAAAGAAGACATTCGATAGACAATAATGGACTTTTATTCTTGAGGGATAGACTTAGAATATTGCAACTTCGTACTGCATTTCAATAGTTAAATTACCATTATTGAATTTTCTACTCTTTATTTGAGGTTGAAATGATTCGTAATGATTGCATTAAGTTATATTTAAGAGACTGAACTCCTATGGGGTTATTAAAAAATGACGTCAAACAAATGAAGGCTTTTGTTACTTGAAATCATTTACTACTCAATCAAAAAGATCTAAATCAAATTATCTGATATAAAACTATGTGCCTGTAAATAAGTAACAGTAAAAAGATCCGACGGCAAACCATGCAGTTGATAGATTCCATATAAACTTAAAAGTCTAAAACTCATTTAAAAATATTTGGCAAATCTGGAGCTCAAAGATAGCATAATTTAAACTGAAATCCCTGATGACCAATACCACAGTTTGTGGTTTAGACCTTACTAATTGGAAACAACATTCAGCATTTTCCGTATGTTTGTTCAAACAGTCTGCACATTGTTGTGAGGTAAGGTTCAGAAAAATTTTCATTAATATTCCATAAAATAACAATGCCAACGACTACGTTTCATTAATTCAGCAATAAAATACGAAACAGACTAGCTCAACAGTTACCATTAAATATTTGATAGTACTTAATTTGCTAATGAACAAATAACTTTCTGAAATTATTGCCAAACTGTAGTAAAATAATTTTCATTTTCAATTAAACTAGCAGCAATTTTCGTAATTTTCATAAAAATTTTATTTACATCATTTTTACATAAACTTTAAAATTCCTACATTCCTACTTTGTACAAGTTTTCTTTCGTGCAATAATTGTGTTTGTGCTTCTTTTTGGCAAGAAGACTGTTTTAATTCTTCAGATTGTCTTTGAAGTTTAAGAATTACAATTTAAAATTCGTTAAAATTTGAATTGAAAAAAACCGTTGAATATTGTCTTTACATTTTAACAGATTTGCAATAAAATGCGCATAATTCCTACTTTGGCCAGTATGTAGCCACAATCAGCCTGTTGATTAAAATTGTAACATTCGCAAATTGTTGTATAAGCGAGTACTCAACACAAGGCACTCATGTTTATTCAATCCTCCAGCACAGAAAAAGGAGTGAAAATCATTTCATGCTAATGATTATGGATTTATGCTATTACTGCATTTACAGTTCGTGCAACAGCCGACCACATTTCCATGTTTTGGTGAGTGAATTAGTTGGTGTTGCTCATTAATACTTGTTGAAAGAGGACAATCATCTTTTTTATGTTTCACACGTCTGTTTTGAAACCTGTTGAGATAAAAATAAAGAAAACCGAACATAAGTAATGAAGTCTGGTTTGAGGTAACAAAAACAAGCAAGCAACTTGAGAATGGGAAAAACTTTTCATTTCCTTCACATCAAAAATTGTTGTTTGAGCTTCATTCGAGGAGAAAATCATTTTTCTAAAGCATTCCTTTCTGCTGATAAGCAGCAAACACACATATGAGATGAAAGTACAATGAAGAAGAAAAATGATTTGGAAGCGACATAATCAGAAAAAATGAGAAATAGTAAACCTACCATATTTTGACTTGCTTCTCTGACAATTTCAATCTTGTTGCTATTTCTATGCGTCGGAGTCGAGTCAAGTATTGATTTGTCGAAAATTCACGCTCTAAATCCAAAAGTTGTGTACTAGAGAAGGCTGTTCTTATTCTTTTACTTGATGAATCTGAATCATCTTGTGGAGTTGGCGACGATGAATTTGATTTTGGTGAACTTGGATGTAAAGGACGTTCAGTTAAATCGTATGGTGCAAATAAGCTTCTTTTCATTTCATTTCTCATAATTGGAGGTGAAATTGATGGCGAACGAGACTCAATCACGGAATGCTTTCTCGCAGATGTTGGTGAGCTCTTGAGGATTAATGCTCTTTCGTAATAGTTTGTAGATGTTGGCACGAAAATGGGTGGTAAATTTGTTGGAATGTAAGGTTTATGTCCTGTTAAATCCAGTATATGATCACGCGACGGTGATTGATAATGTCTTTGCAACATTTGTTGTTGCTGCTGCTGTTGTTGGAGACTTAATGAAAATAAATAACTTCCAATATACGATGGGGAATATGGTGCTGGATGCGATGGTGCTAAAATGGTTTGTGGCATTTCTGATTTCACTGATTTCGAACTACACTTATCACTGATTAGTGAATCTACCAAGAATGAACGAGACATTATTATGCCTTAATATTTTTTATCAGTCTTTGATTATTTTTTAAAAATTTCACAATATATATTTTTTTTTTGCTAGGTATATCCAAAATATTCTTCCTTAATTTTTATTTTTTGAAGTTTTCACTTTAAGATCTAAGTTGCAACTGATCGATCCTCTCTTTGCAGAATTTCTTTTTATACATTTTTCAACAAATAGATCCTTTTGTACCTATTTTCTACCTTCCCATTCCCTTCTATTCACTTGCGATCATTCATTGTTCATACTTACTGCATATGTGTAAGTGCGTACTCACCTCAAAGAGGATAATTTATTAAATTTGACATGCAAGAAGAAGAGAGAAATAAAACTGCAATGAATACAAACGAATCAGAATCAATGGAAGTAGAAAAGGACTCACAACATAAATTTTAAACATGTTTGTTATTGTATCTCTATAATGAGTGATTTTTTTTATTATTTGTTCACCCTATTGAATGCTATGAATTAACAGCTATTAAACGAGGACATTGAAGTGCTGTGATGTAAAAGTGATTATATGTTTTTGGAACCGCCCATAGATCTTTACCCGCTGTTTATGGCTTGATGCTACTTTTTTTTCACTTCCATTCAATAATCTAATGATGTCGACGGCTGTTACATACCACGAAAGATAAAGTCTAATATTCTAGTTCTGCTGTTTATTAGTTGACTATTTAAATTTGATACGAAAATTGTTGGAAGGCTTGTTGCGTTTTGAGTCGAATTTTTCTAATTTCTTTCTGGCTTTTAGATTGGCTTTGCACTATCGACGTGACTAAGAAAATCTTAAGTTAATTAGACTTAGCTTTATTAAAGATTCTATCAACTACTTTCAGTTTCTATAAGCAATAAAAATTAAACGTAAAACTGTTCCACAAGTAACTTTAATTGCCACAATTTACACTAATTATCAATTAGCTTAATTCATTTAAACAAACTGTCCCAAAGCTCATCAACAATTCAATCAAAAAATAATGTAAATTCCAACAAAACTTTTCGCGAACAATTCTTTAAAGTTCTACAAGTAAATATTTGAATATCGCACATGAACCATTTTTGTTACACGACTCGACACAGCTGGTTTTTAGTGCTCTTTTATTTATTTTGTCGATTCGAGTTTTTTTAAGCTCAAGGCAACAAGCATTTAAATTGGCATTAGAATCGAGTTATATTTTCATTTTACAATAACAAAGTTGTGGATTTTCCTTTTTCTCCATAATCACTTTTCTTCTCGTTCGTTTCAAATAGGCGAGAAAAATAATAAAAGAAAATTACATTTGAGACTTGCTTCATCGGATTCTTACTAAGGTTGTGGTTTGAATTGAGTTTGAATCAGCAGAAATTTACATTGAATCTTTATTTGACTTTAAAAGTTTAATAATTTGATTTGAATATTATTGACTGGATCTGTAGTTCATAAAATGTTCATACTATATAAGATGCATCTTACATTTTCCCTATTCTTTCCTATCCTTAAAAAAAGCTGATAGTAATATCCAGTAGAAAAGAAATGAGATTAACACTTTGTTTGTCAGTCAACGCTTCATTTCCTTTGAAATCAACAATAGTATCAAGTAGTGATAACCACTGGACATCGAGACAAGTAAATGGAGCAGAAAATAATCAGCTATGCTTCTTAATTCGAAAACATTCATCCAAAACTAAAAGAAGACTATTAAAGCTATGAACGTGAATGGATATGGCAAAAGTTTTGCAAATAATAGACAAAAAAAATTACAGAAGTCCTCGTGTTATTAATCGAGGGACTTGCACGCATTTTTGACGCAGCGATCAGTATTTGACAAGCATCAAAAATTGAATCGATTAAGAATAAATTTGAATTTCTGAACATACCTTTAACAATTTTTAAAGCGGTAGAAAAAAATTCAAATATTTACTCATCACGTGGTTTTGTTTATGAAATAAAAAATCATTAATTATAGCATAAATACATGGTTTGAAGAATTTTAATCATTCGATGGGCCCATAAATCAATAGTAACGGAGCTAATAAAACAAACCCAAACTTTCTACGATGTCCGGTTAAAAAGTTTTTCTTCGCCCGAGCAGCCGAACAGCCGAACAAAGTGTTTTATTAAGCTACCTTTTAAAAACAAGTTTCAAAAATGCGCTAAAAAGTCATAGGAAACGAGACGCCACAATGTCTGACGAGTGAGAGATATGAGCAGACACATAATCTGTTAAAAGAGTGACACATGTTTTCGAGTAGCAGATTGTGTGGATAGAAATGAATGTATCACTTTATGCTTCATCACCTTTAAATCGAATTAATATCAAAACCATAACAAACAAACGATATATCAATTTATTGTTACACAGAAGCTATAAAAACCTGTTAATTATCAAATTAAGGCCTTTTAACGCACCTTTCACGACGATTTAGGATTAAAGTCCTACAAATATCCAATTTTAAGAGTGTCAGATTACGTTTTTGGTCTTTACCTGATCGGACCATTTATGTTTAATGCATCCTTACCGTAGATGCTCCTTCCAAATCTTTTTTTTTTCATTCATTCATTCACAAAAAAAAAATAATAAAATATGATTTTGGAAGGATCGCTTTACACAAAAGACAAATCTTTGCAAATACAATAACGTTCTTATGTTTCAAACAAAAAAAAAATCATTCAGTCTCTCTCTCTCTGTGTGTTTTTGTTGTTGGCGGATCATGCTTTAGATGTTTTTGTAAGGCATCTCTCTCTTTTATATATTTCATTTTTCAACAATTGGATCAAATTAGAAGGAATAATAGTAAATAGAAAAGGAGTCAAAAATTTATCCTTATTTGCCATCAGAATATTGGAACAATGGATTAAGAGTTGTAGAAAAAAATGAAGTTTATTTTTCTTGACATAAAGTTTTAAAGTTTTGTTTTTGATGAAGAGCTGACCTGAATGTCCATGAGCTATAAGTTGTTTTCATAAGTTGCATTTAGTGACCTGGATTGTTTTTGTGGCATTTGAAGTTGAATGAATCTTTGAGTATAAGAATTGTGAGTTCCAACCCACATCAACATCATGATTTAATATCTTTAGATACAAGATTAAAGGCTGATTTACAATAAAAACCTAGCACAATACTCAATTTTTTTGATTCTTCTGCCACGGCACAACATCTGTCAACGATGTAAAATTCGGACTCAATTAGATGATTGACTTAATTAATTCAAATTTAAATGATTAAAGTTGCACTATTAGTACTTTTGTCACATTGCCTCAAATCTCCTATCTTTTAAGCTTTTAATTTACTTTCTGACAACTCATTAGAATATCATATTAATCATCTGATCTTGGCAACATAAGATACATTCAAGAATCTACACCTGGTTCATTAGGATCAGATCAAACTAGCAAAAGCCAAAAGTCAACTTAAGCAGCATCAAGATCCAATTTCCATCAGGTAAAATGCGTTCGGTTTTCACACCTTAATTCCAATTGATCCCAAACTTATCCCATTTCTTATTATAGTTACTTAAACTTATTACTTCTGAAGACGAGGTCATTCATAAATTTTATGAATGAATGAGGCACAACACAATGGAATGAAGCAAGAAAAAATCCTTCACGCCAAAAAGGCAAAGAAAAATTGCAAGAATGAATGAATGAATGGACTGTATGAGTTTGATAGATGATTTGTTGAACTTCTCCATCTTTTATTGTCTATTCCTTCAGCATAAGGATATTTTATTTAATTGCAGAAATTCATTATTTTCAGAGATAAAAGTGAGGAACTCGTCTTTTATATGAAATTGCACATGAGCATTTTCAAGAATAGACGTTCTTTAAGGAAAAAAAAAAATCTCGAGGGTGCTTGAAATGTACAATAAAGTACAAGACAATGATTGTATAACAAGGAGAATATGACAATGTAAAGGACTTCTTTTTTTCATTTTCCTACATGTTTTATTTCTTTTTTTTTTCTGTTTTTGCAACATCAGCATCAGCACAACTTAACAAACCATCAAATGAATGTGTAATCGATTAATCACGCTGAGGATTCTTCTTCTTCATTTCATATTTTTTTCCTTCTTTTTCATCGTGCCTTTTTTTTACATCAGATGAAATGAAAAGAAAATTGATTGGAGGCACATAACCGCCTAAACTATGTGAAAAATCGATGATTAGATGTGGAAGCTATCCTTATAACTACCTATTTTCGATTTTTTTTTTGATGATGCAATTCGAGAGTAAGATTAAAAGAAAGATACCGACTTGTAAACATAATAATATAAAATGAAACTGAAAATGTTTTTGATGAAATAATCGTCATGTTTACAAATATTTTTATAATCCTTTTTTGTGTGTTCAATTAAATGATATTGTCGTTTTGATGAAAGGAGAAGCATTTTAATGCATTCAAGGGAAAAAAAGGTTCTGTTGTGTGAACCCTTTCACATTCCCATAGTTGGATTATTTTTAGATAAAACATTCAGAAAGTTGCGTACTGGATTTATGAGTTTAATTGAGAAATTATGACGCATTAATAAGATTATTTTAATACTTTCGCTTTAAAAGTTTATTCTGTCACAAAGAGGCAAAAATGTTTGCTTCAAAAGAATATTCAATAACAATGATGCGAAATATCTTTGCTTCAAAATAGTATTGTGTAAAATTGATGCAAAACTGCTTCGCTTCAATATTGCATTCAGTAAAATTGATGCAGAACTGCTTTGCTTAAATAGTGCATTCAGTAAAATTGATGCAGAACTGCATTGCTTCAATAGTGCATTCAGTAAAAATGATGCAAAACTGCTTCGCTTCAGTATTGCATTCAGTAAAATTGATGCAGAACTGCTTTGCTTCAATAGTGCATTCAGTAAAATTGATGCAGAACTGCTCCGCTTCCATATTGCATTCAGTAAAATTGATGCAGAACTGCTTCGCTTCAATAGTGCATTCAGTAAAATTGATGCAGAACTGCATTGCTTCAATAGTGCATTCAGTAAAAATGATGCAAAACTGCTTCGCTTCAGTATTGCATTCAGTAAAATTGATGCAGAACTGCTTTGCTTCAAAAGTGCATTCAGTAAAAATCAGAGATCGAAGCCGATTTTTTCGGCTTAACTCAATTTTTGATTTTTTTGATAGACCGATCGGCTTAAATTTCGGCTTAACATTCTTTAACTTGAAATTCTGAGCTCACTATAGCTACATGCTGACAAAATATTACACAAAATCATAGTAAAGCATGTAAAGTTCAATTTAAATACTTGAAATGGGTGTCAAATGGCTTTTTTCTATCAAAAAAATCAAAAATTGAGTTAAGCCGAAAAAGTCGGCTTCGATCTCTGGTAAAAATGATGCAAAACTGCTTTGCTTCAATATTGCATTCAGTAAAAGTGATGCAGAACTGCTTTGCTTCAATAGTGCATTCAGTAAAAATGATGCAAAACTGCTTCGCTTCAGTATTGCATTCAGTAAAGTTGATGCAGAACTGCTTCACTTCAATAGTGCATTCAGTAAAATTGATGCAGAACTGCTTTGCTTCAATAGTGCATTCAGTAAAATTGATGCAAACAAATTTTGCGTCAAATTTAAGAAGAAGAAGAATAAAGTAGATATAATTCAAATCTTAATCAGGTTTTAATATTGTAGAAAATCTTTGTTAACTTAGAGCAGTCGAGAAAAAACGTTCCTTCCGATCTTCATCTTACTAGAAAACATTGCTGTTCATGCTTTTGATTTCTCTCATGTGTGTGACCTGATAACATTAAAAAACACATAAAAAAGTTTATGTACTCTCATTCTATATAATATTTGCGTAGGATATATTTATAGAATATCTACAATTCAATTAAGTAACTCAGCCTCAAGGGGTTCTCTCTAAAAAATTATATTATACTTATTATGTAACATCCAATATTTTTGGCAAACATCGATCCATATATGAAACTTTATTAATCAATTAAATCAACATTAGTCAATGGATTGGAATTTTATTGAATCATAAATTTTCCCATTCAGATTATATTTGACATGTCGGCAGTCGACCGACATAAAGAGAAGGCAAGCAAGAATAAAATTCAGGAATGAAGACGACAGAAATAATATTTTTTGTCGCATGAGTTTTGATTGTTGATGGAGCGATAGTGCAAACTAGTGGTAGATAATCGCCAACAATGGCAAGCATGTGATCATTGGTGCATAAATTTATGATTATCAATCTGATGTATGGAACCAATTATTCAAGCTTCAATGAAAAATTAGAGATATCCTTGATCTTGAAATGAAGAATGGTAAATATTTTGTTGCTCACGAAGTGTGTAGCAATCTAGAAAATTATTTATGAGACAAAGGTCGAAATAGAACATTTTTCTACATCCTTCCTTCTCTTCTGTACGGAAAATTAATTGCACATATTTTTATTATTTTTTTCCTTTTTGCTCACTCACGAAGCAGTCATAATATGGAAATAAACGCGAGAGAGCGTGATGGATAGGAAAATATGTCAACGCAACACTCGTTTTCTCTTCTGATAAATGCCAATTTGCAATGTACATAGTACAGCATTTTTTTTCCGTACACTACATTTTATTACATGCTGGTCTGCTATCGATTTGTCATTTATCGGCATCAAATTTAATATATATATTTTTATTTTTTTTGTACAAGTTTTTGGGGTATGGATTCTGTATGTTGCAGTTTGAGTTGATTTTTGAACATTTGTAATAGATTGTTTATGAGTATGGATTGGAATCATTTGACAAGCGATAATAGTATTAAAAATTCGGGGATGGATTGTTTGATTCGGACAAAAATACATGGTGTTGACTCCTGAAGATTTATGGCACTTCAGAATCATATCTGCGACTGACACATTCGGAGTAACAGCTTTTAGTAATGAGATCCGCTTAACCTATTTACTTATCATGTCTAAGTTTAAGGTTTGTGGGTTAGGGGTTATGAAAATCGTTGATCAATTCTGTAACATACCAAAATAATGCAGAAATTGAAATTCTCAACTCCAAAAATGCGTTCTAAAGATAATCAAAATTTCACATACTTCACAACACAATGTTCTTATCCGCAAAACATATAGCGGTGCTCTTTTTCTTCGTTCTTTCAAGCCCGTCTGCCAATAAGTGATTAATTAATAAGAAAAGAACATGGATGTTACAGTCAAATATTTTTCGAACGATAAAGTCTATAAAAATATTTATTCACTTTACTTCACAGTAATATAATATAGAAACAGGCATCATAAAAGTCAACTATTCACTCACATTATTTATTATGAGAGTCAGCGCAAAAAATAAAATATAGTAAACCAGCTTTCGTGCAATTTGTAACGAGTCGACGTGAGCTTGAAAATATAATTCATTATTAAAAGCTCCCATTCCTTTTTCCTTTTTATAAACAGCAGTAGTATCAGCAGTACTTAATGATTATTATAGATGCTATCATAATTGATGAAATAACAAATATACTACTCGACGACAATATTTGAAAACCCGCTTCTTTCTCTCACTTAGGATGATTACAATCAGTCGCTATTGTGTTTTCAAACTGTCCATATCTCTTGGATCTTTGTCCTTAATAGAATTTAAGGAGGAAAAGTTTATCAAAAATAAGCTGACAGCAGGGAAATGACTGAAAATGTCACATCCAATCTAACAAATACGACAACAACTGAAGATGATCATAAATCTTTAGTTCATGTTGATTTGCTGGCGCTATTTTATATCGTTGGCATAAGTGCCTGTTTTCTAGCCTTGTTGCATCTACATACAAGAAAGAGTTTTAGGAACACAAAACAGGCTTTTATGTTAAAGTGAGTGGATGTGATATATAGTGAATATGAATTTGTGTGCAGCAGTGGATTGCTAATTTAGAGAAATTTTAAGGATGTTTGTAAATTTGGAAGTGAATTTATAGTGAAACATAATAGACACTAGACATTTATGTCTAATAAAAATCTAAACTTGAGGTCGATCAATGTCATTTTCTACTTAAAGTTCAGTAAAATTTGTCACTGCCGTTATCAACTAGTTTTGAATTTCTAGTGTCCAAACCGTGAAGCATATATGCTGGAAGTAATAAGCAAAGTTTCAAAAATAGGATTAAGTGCGATTGTAGTTACATCCATTGAGGGAAAGGGGTTGATTAAAAAAATATTATACTTTCAAATCGATTGCTCAATTAAACAGCCTCTAATCATCCATGTTGGACATCAGATGTGGATGACTTCATTCAAAATATCTAATCTGCAATACAATCCACTGGCATACTCAAAACTACATAAATCTTGCATCTACTGTTTATTTTAACCATATTCTTTTCTCTTCAAGATGCTTGATGACACTGGAATTTGTTGGATTGGTTGGTATGCTGACAATAATGATAATAAAGGAATGCTGGCCGGAAATATACAAGAGTAACATTTGGATAATTTGTTTCTCAAGAATTTTGTGGAGATTCTTTGGCTTGAGCTCTGGTTGTGTGGCATTTTTACTGGCAGTTGAGAGATATTTCGCATTGACTAAACCATTTTTCTACTGCAGACACTTCACCAATGGACTTATGAAACGATTAATTTTTATGTTTTGGACATTAGCTGCCATCCTTTCTTTTGGACCAGTTTATGGGTTCGGGATTTTCTTTAACGAAGCACAAGAAAAGTGTGAACGGTATCGTGATGCTACTAAAACATGGGATGTTGCTTATGCTTTCTTATTTTTCTTTAATGGTGAGTCTATCCAAAAAAAAAATTATTTCGTTTTCCGCTTGTTTGACTTTTAATCGTGATAAAGACGTAAGAAGAAAATCATGTATGTAATTTCCTCTCTCTGTCTTCCACAACAAAAATAAAAAAGGATCAACTCTATGTATCTTCATGGTTGTTTGTAACGTCTCAGTTAGTCGAATGGTTTATCGGTCATATCGCAACATGAAGCAATTAACACTCAGCTCATCGGAAAATTTTAATCGAATTCAATCAATTAAGCTTCATCATCAGATAAGTGAAGTAAGCACAAGCAGTACAACATCCAAGTCAGTTTCCATAACACGAGATGAAATTGCATTTATCAATATGGTAAATTTGCTGACTGGCAGTTTTGTCATCTGCTGGGGAACCGGTATGGTAAGTGAAGTATACCGCAAAATAATTTAATTTTGTCTTTTATCTTTTTTGCGCTCTTCGTGGTCTTGATTCATATTTTGAGTTGAGTGGGAGATACTTGTTAGAAGCTACAGTGTAATTGAAAGAATTAGCAGATTCCATTTAAATTAAAAAGTTATAAATCAGTTACAGTTGCTGAATATTGAAGATTAAATTTTGAAATAGAAAATTCGCTCGGTAGTGTGTTATGACATTGCTATCAATTCAGTTCTTCTTATGAGAGATGATGCAATAAATTGAGTGGATATGCTAAGTTTTTTTTCGGAATTGTGCAGTTTTAGAGTTTGATAATATTTTGTGGAAAATAATCTTAGTCTTAATCTAGCTTGAACACAGAATTAGTTTTGAAAAGTCTAGAACAGCACGAAAGTCCGTGAAACACGTGCTCGGTCCCAGATCTCAAAGTTGGCATGAATATTTTTTTTTATTAATCCAGTTTATTCGAACTCTGCTTGGTTCTAAGTACTGCAAACATCTACAGTCGTTTCGACAACATTTGATCAAAGGCTAATCAGATGAAAACATTCAGCAAACAGTTCAGGATTTAATTTTAAAAAATCATCATCGAAATTCAGTCCCAATACCTGAATGTCCAATTATTTTTTTTCTCACACACGTCACGTCACATAAGAATTCAATTGCTGTGATTTGCATCTCTGAGTTCTACAAAAAAAAAAATGAATTTAATATTTATTATAAATCGAATAAATAGTACACTCGATTCAACCACAGTCGGTATAATACATTTATGTGCCATGCTTATTTCACGGTTTCCATTTCTCTCTCCCATTGATTATGTCACAAAATATAATTTTCCTGTCTCTGACAATGAAGTACCAATTTAAATCATAAAAAGCATATTTTTATGAACTTCTCCCGTCCTTATTTGAGTCTCACCCATTCTTATCTTGAATGAGAAATAATAATAATAATGTCATATGTGTATTAAGAGGAGGGTAACAACAAAAAGCCACTCTATCAATTTCAAAAAGCTACTGAATTATTTTTATTTCTTCACTTCTTATGCCATACATTTGTCGTCGTCATATAAAACTATCATTGTTATTGTAATTTTTATTTATTCGGTTCCGCATCTACTTACGGTTGAATGAATTTGTTGGTTACAACCCCTTTTTTTAAAAAAAAGGATGATGAACAAAATATATAAATTAAATCATTAAATGGATGTTGCTTATTATTCTATACTGTACATGCTATTAGCATGCAATTACTCGTAAATGTCTCATCTTTTACATGCCATCTACTTAAACTGAATCGTTTCGTTGACTAACGATGTCGTGAAATTAAGCTATTTTGAGAGTCATTGGTACTTGGTGAATTAAGCGCATTTTTCGGAACTACCAGTAAGTCAACAAAATGGAACTGATTAACTGGGTTTTGATCAATTCCATATCCATTGCCGAGCTGAAGATGAATTCACTGCAAATCAAAGGTTAGGAATTAAATTTACAGACGTTGGGTGCTTAGGGGATGTTCTAAGATTGCTAGCTCATAAATGACCAAACACCTATGTGATAAAGAACGTGTCACAGGCATAGACTCACTTTTTAAAATCTTTGACACCCAAACATCGGAATACTGGATACAAAAAGTCAGAAATGACAATTCTAACGAGAGCTTTAGACGAACAAACAATTTAAATTTAACATCACTATTTTTGCTCCAAGTCGCTTAATTTTTAACTCCATTCAGAAGTTTTAAATTATAAGAAGAATCTCGATTGATTTCGAAATCAATATAAAGAGCACAAAGCCGTAGTTGTAGTCCAAAAATCAAGCACTTTAGCTAATCAGTCAAGACGAAAAATTTGCATTAATCACTCAAATCAATTCACAAAAACGCTACGCAAAAAAAGAAATAAAGTTAATCGATTATTTATCCTTTTTTTATCCTGTAACAGATAACGATCCCAATAGCGCAATTTTACAGAAATGAAAATCATTCAAAGGCGATGGAAATGTTCTATCATTTTGCCGACATGCTGCTACTGCTACATTTCGCATTAGATCCATTTATTTATGTGCTGTGTCGAACTGATTACTACAAAAGGTTCAAATATGTTATGAGTCAGATATTCTGTTCAGACGATGATGAGTTTGCTGAATTACCAGAAATAGACCGAGACCGAGCTATTTGCTATTGAAAATTGGAAATGATATTTGAATAGCAATTTTGCATTTTGGAGATTAAGAGAAGTGAATAGGAAGATGAAAGGAAAGGAAGCTTCCGGCTTGGAATGAAAAGATGATGATGATTTTTTTTCTATCTCCATCTCCACTAAATGATTATTTGAAACTACTAAATTGATGTTAATTTTAAGGTAAATTAATGTTAATATTCCTCATCAATTCCATTCAATTTGTATTACAGTGAATAAACATAATTTTAACAAAAGACCGAAATTATCCTCAAAGACCTTTTTTCTACCTAAGTGAAATTTGTTTGTAGTTCTGCAGATCCTTAGCATTCATAATTTTATTTTGTGTGTGAAAAGAAAAGAGGAAATTAAATTTTTTTCAAATTTTCCACATCATTAAGCATCTTTCCAATATTTCACACTTAATTCGCACATATGTATTTCGAGAACACCTTCATTTCTATCAATTGAATGATTTTGATGCTCTCGATACATAGGACAGTAAACAGCCATCAATTAGAAGTGCTCATTTTTTTACAAATTTAAGAAAAACTTCTTACACAAAGAAATTACATAAAAATCTCCAAAAAAATTGAGAGGATTTATCAATAACACACGTGAATTGTTCCTAAAGTGTGCATCATCCAGGTGGTACATTGTACAAGAGCATGAGCTGTTCACTTCAATTTTTATATTCCTTTTATGTTGTTTGTTAATTCAATGGTCAATAAATGGAATGAATTCTACTGAAATAAGCTAAAGAATGAGAAGTTTTATTGTGCAATTGAAGAAAATGTTGGGCGTTTCTACTTAAGAAGCTTGAAGAATTTTTTTTATTATCCTCTTTTTTTATGAAATTAGAGAATGAAAAGGAATAAAGAAGAATTGTCGCACGAATGAAATAAAAGGTGATAGAAATTGTGTTTTTAAGAATTTTCTACATGAAAAATGATAATGGAAGTAATATTTTTATTGGATCTTATTATTTTATAAGCACGCTTAGACTTTAATTGTTTGGATATTTCAGACCTGATGCTCTTCAAATTGGAAATTCTTCATTCTTACAGAAATGACTTTAACAATTATGTCAACAGGATATTCACAAGGATGCTCATCTAATTAAACTCTATTGGAAAGCTAAAAGGCTTCAGTGGCATAACTGGTAGAAGATGGACTAGGTTTGACTAGGTTTGACTATATTCAACTAGGTTTAACTGAATTTTATTAGAAATTTTTTTCTCTGAAGTTCTTTAGGTTGTGTATCAAATCATATCGTTCAAATCTTGAACTGATTAAAAAATTTTTATAAAGCTATGCACTTAATGTGAAAGAGTTTCAGCAAAGCGATGTGTTACTACACGTTGCGACTGATCGATGTGATACTGATCGATGATTGAATATAGTGTACAAGGACTTTATAGGATCATGAATTTGGAATGAATGGACTACATCGTCAGTTTTACCGTCCTGAAATTGAAATCCTGTAAAATCTGTAGTCATCCACATCGATTAATAATGTGTGACGGGCCCAGCCTTTCAGCTGGAGGCACTGCGACTCAAATTAGAACAGAATCTATTGTACCACACCCTTTAGGCCTACAGTTTACAGTGGGATCCGAAACACGTGCAAGCTCTGAACATTGCAAAGACATGAGTCCCTCATAAGACCTGATGTACCCTGCAATATACCTAGTCACAATTCGTGTGCGCAAGATGCTGTAAGGAAGTCATCCACATGCTAGTATATCTTTGTATACCTAGCAAAGGAGGCATATTCTGTGCCAAAGACATCAATACTACACCCAACTCACGAACCGAGCTTCGTAACTAGAACGGTGAAATGGAAAAAGAGCTTCGAAAATTAGACATGGCCTGGGATTGAACCCAGGACCTTTGGCACATAAGGCCAACGCTCTACCATTTAGGCCACTGATGCCATTTCACCGCTTGATCCACATCGATCCACATCGATTAGTTCACAATCAATTCTTAGGACCCTTCCTCAAAATAATGGTCTTCACAAAAAGTCTCCTTAATGAATATTCATTCTACATACCGAGTGTTAAGTCTCGCTCAAAATATTTAAATCCAGCAAATAAATTAAATATCTACAAATATCATTTAAACTGGATTTCCTTTCCCATATAACAAGCTTTATTCTTCCACAAAAAAAGTGAGCGCTAAAAAGCAGCATAATCAAATAACCATGGGGAAGCTCTTTAACGTCTAACATACTTTAAAACCACGTCATTTTCACTTAATAAAATCAAATTAAATAATTATACATTTGAATGCACATGAAAAGGTAAAAATGAACAAAATTTATAACTTACAAGCCATAAAAAGTATCATCATTCGAAACATCTCATCATGTACGCATTTGGCTTTCATCCAAAGAACAAATAAACATCAGCAGGCATCAGTTCCATTCAATGAAAATTGTTTGTTATTTATTATACTTTAATATAATGAGTAATAGCAGGCAAACAATTCTTGTTGAGGAAAAATAAGTTGCACAGTCATTACCCTTTCGAGTGACTTGTTGTGACGCATTCGGATTGGACTTTAAGTTGATCATTGATTCTGTTTTCTTGACAACTTGGATGGACATAGTTTAAAATTAATCAGTCTTTCATGATTATTGTAAGTTAAATGACGTTGTTGAATAGTGACAGGAGTGGTCATTGAAGCAGTAATCTGATCAACTTACTTACTTCGCTGGTCGTACAGATCAATTGTGATCCATGACCCCCCTTAGTCGTCCCCTAAAACTAGCCTCTCAAACTCTATCAACAGCCTCTTTCCATGAGTTCTTTGGCCTTCCACGTGATCTGATCAACTACATGACCAAATCAACCATAAGACAATCTGCATCATCAATAAAACACTTCATGCCCAAAAATGAGCATTAACAAAATCCAGTGTGTTTTCGAGTGCTGATGAATTTTTTTCACTCTATTCTGTTATGAATGGGATAGATACAAATCGTAACATACATTTTATGCCACATTCTTGTAACAACCCCGCCCCTCGATGATACTTTTCTGCTTCCAAAATGCTTCAACTTTATTGTATAGAAGAACTATGAACTATCATTCAACAATAAATTATTATTTGAATAGAATTTTACAAGCTTTTTGTACTGCATTTTATGTGCTGTGCCTGTATTTCTAATAATTCTCTCCCTTCCATACATCGGTAATGTCCTATTATTGTCACCCAAAGATGAGTCGAAAATTGATGGTTCTTTGTTAATAGTTTCTAATTTGTCTATTATTCACTACAAAATGATTTTCAATAGAATTTACGCATGGAGCTCTCCTTACTGTTTTTATGGCTTTTTGTCGAGTGATTTTTTTTTTGACATCACATACATAGTGTGACCTATTCATTCAAGAAACTTTGTTTTCTATTTTTTTCAAATTCTTCTTTGCCATTCTTCTACTCTTCAAGTCGTCGAAATGTCTGTGTCTTCAATTTTTTTTTATAGTTTACTCTTATGCTATTTGGTTTACTCTATTTTTGGTTCGTCTATTGGACTTATTTCAATGGAAATAGAAGAACTTTTTTCTTATCTTTGATTTTATCGAAGTGCTGTAGATAAAATTAAGTGTCGGCAAAAAACTTCTCGGTCAGAGGTCGTCTTATATTTGTTTGTTGGAGTAATCATTGGACGAAAGTTCATGATACTTCCTTAAAATGTCCTGATCTAATAAGATCAGAAAATCTTAGGAAATCAGTATACTATTCGACATATAGTTGGGTACGATTTTGAAGTTTGTATATTCTTCCAATTCAGGCAATATTTTGAAAACCTTAAATAGATTAATGCCATGAGCATTGTGCGAATTCTTGCCATATCGACAGCAATTTATGTAATCATTAAGAGAGATTGGTATCTGATGGGAATCGAACCCACATCCTCATTATAGAATGTAACAGATATCCAGTCTATTGTCTAATAATTCGCGCAGTAGAAGCCTAAATCTTGCACTAGCAGATTTACGTATTTATGGCTCGATCCTCGAGATTCCACTTTAGATTGTCACAACAATGCCTATCATTTCAGGAGAAAAAAGAAGAAGATTTGAAGATCTTAACTGTTATTCAACTTTATTTTTGAACCACCCCTTTTAAATGGAAGCCTTTGCTTCCCCTTTTTGAGCCCAAATTCTCATTTATGATCAAAACTTCATAATTCTTAAATTTTAAATTGTCTGATTCTTAGTATACTAGTATTAAACTATTGGGGCTCCTCAATTTGAGTAGATGTTTGTTCCAAAAATTTTCTACTCAAATCGAATCTATTCAAATAAAACCTACTCAAATCGAAGACCCCCCAGTACTGCATTCAATATGCCGAATTAGTATAAAAACGTCTCAAAAATAACTTTGCTGATCGTGGGATAAAATCTTGTTACTTCAAATTCAAACACTAACCTTCACAAATTCAACTCTACTATGCAGGGGGGGGGGGGGGCATAGGGCCCCCCCTACGAAAATCTAATAATTGTTTTATTAAGTATTTATAGAGAAGAACCAGTTAATGTAGAGGAAGTGATGAAAGAAATGTCGAAATCAGCACGAAAAATTAAATTTAATGTATGAATAATGAATTAAATATTTAAACGTATGAAGAATGAATATAGATTTAAAGATACAAAATAACGGTTTTTTTAATTTTCAAAAATGCCCCCCCCCCCCCCCCCCCGCTTAAAAATTTTCTGGCTACGCCCCTGCTACTATGCTATCAAGAAACATGATGAAATTGATGATTTTGGAGATTTTGATGCGAATTTGAAATGTCTTAGTTGTATTTAATATCCTATGAAGAATCCTATGAAGCACCTAACCCTCCTAGAACTGTGTTGAAATTTTTCTAGAGTATACAATTTTTGTTGAATATTACAGGAGGTCCTTGAATTGAATAGGTGTTAAAAATCACATCCAAATCGAATCTATTCAAATCGGAGATGCCTTGTATAATGAGAAAAACTAATAGATAC